GGAACTCGTGAAAAGTATGTATATATTTCCTTATATGTCATACTACAGAGGCGAGGGACGGACAGTCCCTTGTGTTAACATCCTCCTGGATTATGCAGGGCAGCTCCGAGAGGAGGGTGCCAATGGCTGGGAGAAGTGTGGTCGCCGACGTGGGAAGATCCGAGGTGGCTGAGCATTTGCTCGGCCACTTGTGTTCCATCACTACACTCTCCAGGAGGGAGGGGGCAGCTCCGCATCGCCTTTCTTGGAGGAATCATTCGATTCACTGCGTGACTCTGCGTCAAAGAAGACGGTGGCGTCGTCCCGCGCATAGCGTCCCGCCACAGAAAAAAACCACTCAGTGGAGCTGCTGCCAACATCGCTTTTTTCGAGGGAATCATCCGATTCACCTCAAGAAAATAACACGTTAGAAAAGGCGGTGGCGTCGTCCAGCGAGTAGTGACCCTCCACAGAAAAGCATTCAGCGGGGCTGCTGCCAACATCGCCTTTTTCGAGGAAATCATTAGATTACCGCGAGGAAAAACCACATTAGAAAAGGCTGTGGCGTCGTCCAGCGGGTAGCGGCCCGCCACAGAAAAGCACTCCTCGGCGCTAACCTTGAACAAGGCTGCTTTTCTGCTTCTCCTCGGGAAGGAAGAGCTCACTGGGACGGCAGGGGGTTGGCATGGCGGAGACCCAGGCATCTTTAGCAAAGGTTGTGCCAGTCAGAGCTGGACAACTTTTCCTTCTTTGTTCTTCTTACAGTGCTAGCTAGCTGGCTGAAGAAAAAAATGGGAGCAGATTACACGGTCTTACCGTAATTTATACGGACCGGGGGTGAGGCCCACACACAGCAGGTGGGCGTGGACTAAATTTTTTTCAGTGTAGTGCTGAGCGCCTAGGGATAAACCCACTAGCGGCAGTCTTAAAGGGCGAAGCCTATATGAAATACAACTGCTATGCACTACGGTTTATTTTGATCTTAATGTTTTACCTGTTTTATTATTTTATGTGTTTAAAAACTTGAAATGTTCTTAACTTTATGTGTACAGCACTTTGATGCAGCTGTGGTTGTTTTAAAGGGCTTTATAAATAAAGTATTATTATTATTATCATTGTTGTTGTTTTATTACATATACAGCACTTTGGTCGTGTGGGTGTTTAAAGTACTCTATAAATAAAGCTGGTATAGTATGGTATGGTATCAGCTCGACAGAGCGGGGGGAGGGGGGGGGGGGGGACTGGCACCTGGGAAATTCTATAAACAGCCAGCCTACTACAGGAACCTCAGAACGGGTCAGAAAATCAAACAGGTGAAGGCACTGATAAGTGTGCACTCGTAAATGCATTGATCTTGTGTGATGGCTAGCTGTTCTCCAAAGCTTTGAAATAAATATGAATAGGTCTACACCTAATCATTTTAGGAATTTTGTTTTTTCCACAACAGTATACATTGCTTTAGGGTGCATTCACACCAGCCCTGTTTAGTCCACTTTAATCGAACTCTAGCTCGTTTTCCTAGAAAGTCCGGTTCGTTTGGGGAGGTGTGAAGGCGCCATCAAACTCTGTCACAGAACAAAAAGGTGAACTCTGGCCCGGGCTAGAACCTAGGTCTCGGTCCGGTAGAAGCGAACTCCAGCGTGGTTCAAGTACAGTGTGAATGTAAACAGACCAGACCGCTCCGCAGGACAAACAAACACGCATTTCTCTGACCTCATATGGAGCCGTCAGCTGCCTTGTGTGGAAAAACAACATTCTCCATGGTCTTCTGTCTCATCTTCTGCTCATGCTAAGTCCATTTTTGAAAAATGACAAAATATAACTCCTAAAACTGTTAAAACTTGATGCCACTTCGTTTTTATTTTTATTTACAGAAGAAGAAGAAGACGTGTCTTCAGAGGTTTTTGTGTTGTTTCTTTCAGTAGTTCTTGGTGCAGCGCCCCCACAGGCGAGCGGGGGAATAGGTTGGTTTAACAGGTTGACTCGACTGCACAGTGCAGTGTGAATGCAAACACACCAGCTCAAATGTAACAAAAGGTCATGAATATTGGTCCCGAACCAAACCGAGTCTACCGGACTATCTGGTGTGAAAACGACCTTAGGCTCATAAATTTTCATTCAAACTTTATTTAGACAGGTTAAATAAACGCGAGTTATTCAGGACACTTTAGTGAAAAATACCTATCCTTAAAGGAAGCCAATTCCTCTTTGACCAGCAGCTCAGCAATGTTGGTTTTGGGTTTGTTCTGTCCACCATCAAACACGCTGATTGGCACAGGTCGACTCTTTGGCACTTGAGCTGAGAAACACACATAAAACAAAAAATTTCAACCTTAACCCAGATCACAGAAACTAGAGAATTATTCCCAAAATATTCACTAGGCAATTCACACTCCGTACCTGTAGCAACAATTGTGACCAGTTGCTGGTGAGCAAGGCTGATGAATCTGTTGGTGCAGGCTTCACTCCACTGCTTTCCATCCACAGGAACCACATCAGTCAAACAGCAGTGAATCGCCTGAACACACAAAGTGACAGTACACTTATCAAAGAGTGTTCAAACATGCAAAGCACTAAACACAAGAAAATAATTTAATGATAAATAGGTTTATTGTACTTTGCATTGCAAGCAGAGTTGAGCCTTTTCTTGCTCAGTATGTTTAACACATCGATTTTACAAAACAAAAATCAGCTCAAAAACTCATTTAGGTTAACCAAATACATCTCATTTTGTATGTAAAATATTAAATCTTACTGCAAAACAAAAGGATTTTAGCTGCATTGCATTTTAGGATCATCTGTATATTTTCAGAAAAATCAAGAATTATTGTGAACTATTGTGTTCTCACCATGGCAGGAAGGGCAAAGAACTCATCCTTGATCTTCCTCAAGTCACTGACAGACAAGACTGCCTTATTGCCAAAGTCAACGTATCGTACTTCTACTTTTCTTCCACCTGGATGACCTACAAATACATACACAACTCACCAGGTTACATCAGTATACTACACAGTTTTATTTTTATTAATGAGGAAAGATATTTACGATTGTCATAGCAAAGACTAAAAAGGAAAATCTTTCAAACTAATTGAATGTATTAACGTAACCATCACAAAAATATGAAACATTCAACACTAAAAATTAAAAAGAAAAGAGTCAATATATATTTAGACAAAACACACAAATTAGGGCTGCACATTCACACTCTGGCCTTGATGCACACACCTGGTATAGATGAAAGTGATGACAGAAGAAAACGTGAGAAGTTAAGAAAATGTGTTTTTATTGCAATTAATATTGTAATTGCAATATTAAATAATAACATCCTAAATCGCAAATTTAAAAAAAAAGAGCTTCATGAGTTCAAGTGAAGCAAGTACCTAAAATGGCGACTTAAAAAAAATTGCTGCAAAGCCGTTGACTGTATCCTCTTCATTATATAGCAATAGATGTCCTAAATGCAGAAAATTAGCATGTGGAGGACTGTGACTTCATATTAATATGCAACAAGTCCAGAAAACCCTTACGCAGTGCGGTTTGAGAAGCTTAACTCGACAGACTCAGGGGGACCACAGAGGAGCACATTGTGGGCCTCTCCAGACCAAGCAGAGAAGGACAGTGCAGCGGAGCTAACAAACATTAAAATGCTGTTACAGAATATTGCTCCCAGTATAAGTGGACTAAAACAATGGATGCAATTCAAATGGCGGTGAAGAAACTGGGAACTCGAATGGATGAGGCTGAGACTCATCGCAATCCTGAACGATAAAGACCAAGGTCAGGGTGTCACAGTGGACACGGCCATTAAAACCATTGTCAAACTACGGTAGAAGATAACGTATATAGAAAACGTCGGCTGCAATAGTAATGTTGGTATAATTGTAGTTTAGCGTTTAGTTTCCCCGATGTAAGACTGATCACACTCCTGACACTGAACAACACACACAACATTACTCTGTTTGTGCCGGGGGACTGGATCTTTGGGATGAACCAGTCTTTAATGTATTTTGGGGTTTAAAAGCCACTGGGACGTTCTGTTTAGAAAATAAACGTCTCAGTTTCTCTGATACTCCCTCAACATACGGAATGACCACTGGTCTGGGTATGGGTTCCTCCTTTTCACCCGTTTCATCTCAGGAGATTGTAGAAACTACTAAAACTGGGTTAAGAACTGTCCAACACATTATTAAAAACTGGAAGGACAGTGGGGACCCATCGTCTTCCAGGAAGAAATGTGGCCGGAAATAAATCCTGAATGATCGTGATCGACGATCACTTAAACGTTTGGTGAAATCAAATGGAAGAAAAACACCAGCAGCACTCAGGGCTGTGGTTAATAGTGAAAGTAAGAACATTTCCACACACACAATGTGAAGGAACTCAAGGGACTGGGACTGAACAGATGTGTAGCCTTAAGAAAACCACTAACCACTGAGGCTAACTGGAAAAAAAGGCTTCAATTTGCTAGGGAGCATAAAGATTGGACTCTGGAGCAATGGAAGAAGGTCATGTGGTCTGATGAGTCCAGACCTGTTCCAGAGTGATGGACGCATCAGGGTAAGAAGAGAGGCAGGTGAAGTGATGCACCATCATGCCTGGTGTCTACTGTACAAGTCTGTGGGGACAGTGCTATGATCTGGGGTTGTTACAGTTGGCCAGGTCTAGGTTCAGCAACAGTATGTGCTCAAAGAATAAGGTCAGCTGACTACCTGAATATACTGAATGACCAGGTTATTCCATCAATGGATTTTTTCTTTCCTGATGGTACGGGAATGTTCCAAGATGACAATGCCAGGATTCATCAGGCTTCAACCAGGTGACACACAAAGAAAGCAAGAAAAGACCCCAACCCCAAAAGAAGACTCCAAGAAAGAGAAAACTTCAGCTGCAAAGGATCATGGATATGCTGCAGACAGGAGACTGAAAGAGCTGGAGGAGGAAAACGTGTTCTTGATGACGCCGCAGAACTGCTTCAGTCACCTTCCAAAGGTGCTCCTGCTCGAAAAATAATGAAAAATTTAAATTTTATATATTTATATATATACAGGTCCTTCTCAAAAAATTAGCATATTGTGATAAAGGTCATTATTTTCCATAATGTAATGATAAAAATGAAACTTTCATATATTTCAGATTCATTGCACACCAACTGAAATATTTCAGGTCTTTAATTGTTTTAATACTGATGATTATGGCATACAGCTCATGAAAACCCAAAGTGCCTGTCCCAAAAAATTAGCATATTTCATCCCACCAATGAAAGACAAGTGTTTTTAATACAAAAAACGCCAACCTTCAAATAATCATGTTCAGTTATGCACTCAATACTTGGTCGGGAATCCTTTTGCATGAATGACTGCTTCAATGCGACGTGGCATGGAGGCAATCAGCCTGTGGCACTGCTGAGGTGTTATGGAGGCCCAGGATGCTTCGATAGCGGCCTTAGGCTCATCCAGAGTGTTGGGTCTTACGTTTCTCAACTTTCTCTTCACAATATCCCACAGGTTCTCTATGGGGTTTGTCGCGGATTCTTCATGCGGTGGGCCTAGGCACCATAAGCAACTTCATCATGACTCCAAAAAAAATGAAGAAAAAATCATGGATGGCATGTCAGAGTGTGATGGTTGTGATTTTTATTTACACACCTTCCCAAAAACAAAAATGCAGAGTGTGTGTGGGGGGGGGGGGGGATATACTTACAACTTTCTTTCTTCAGAGCATTTTTTCTAATATTCCATATCAGTGTTACCCCTTCTGTAACCAGGCCAGACTGACTTGGCAGGGCCAGAGACTCTTCTTATAAACCCTTAACCCCGCCCACAATTAGATCAACAAACAATCAATTATTTTACCAAATAAAACAACAAAACAAAACAATGCTGTCACAAAAATCAACCAACATTCATTTCCTACTTTAATTTTAAAGCCCTTGTTTTGTTTAGTTAAATTATTTATAATTAAATCTGCTGGTGGAAGAATAATCACTTCCTTTATAGGTAATGCGGAAGCATTACGCTTACTTTTACTCCAGCCGACAACGGCGGTCCGGACAACGCTTCACAGGTGAGTACAACCTTAAATATGCCTGCTTAGGTGAATGTATGAGTTACGATGTTTACGAGCGTTTCCAAGTGTGCACCCTTGGTCGCGCCACGGACCACAAAGAGGGAGAGGTTTGTGTGTAGGGCGATTCGGCTCTAGCTGTCAGAGGGAGGGCACGTAGTAAGATAAGTGAGTGCGCGCGCGCATGTGTGTGTGTGTTCAGCGTGAGGGATGGAACTGCTCCATCACATCATCCCCCTCCTCCCGGAGATTGACGATGTGTGGCAATCTGGACAGGTAATCGGCCACCACATTGGTTTTGCCAGATCGATGACGAACACTAAACCTAAATGGTTGTAGCGACAGATACCATCGGGTGAGCCGGCTGTTATGGTCTTTCATGGAGTTTATCCAGGTTAGGGCTTTGTAGTCTGTTTCTAAGTCAAATTCCCGTCCCAACAGTAATATTTCAAGCTCTCTAGCGCCCATTTGATGGCCAGACCCTCTTTCTCTACAGTGGAATACCTGGTCTCACGTGGGTACAGTTTACGGCTGAGATATAGCAGTGGGTGTTCCTCTCCTGGGTCTCCTTGGGCTAGGACTGCCCCCAAGCTGACTGCAGAGGCATCCACTTGTACTAGGAACTTTTTGTTAAAGTCTGGGCTTTTCAAAACTGAAGAAGAACAAAGCAGTGTCTTCAGGATGTTGAATGCCTTCTCACATTCAACAGACCAAGTTACTGGGTTCCTCTGACATTTTGCAGTCAGTGATGTAAGTGGGGCTGCAATAGTTGCAAAGTGAGGAACAAAGCGTCTATACCAACCGGCCAATCCTAGAAAAGACCGGACCTCTTTTTTGGTACGAGGTCTAGGACAGTTCTTGATGGCTTCCACTTTATCCACTTGAGGCCGAAGCTCTCCTACTCCCAGAAAGTAGCCCAAGTACCGTGTCTCTCGTTGTGCCCAACTGCACTTTGAAGGGTTGAGGGTTAACCCAGCTTCCTGGATCTTCCCCAAGACCAGAGACAGGTGTTGGACATGCTCCTCCCATGAACTGCTAAAAACCACCACATCATCAAGAAAGGCTGCACTGCAGTGGTCACAACCCTAGAGAACTCGGTCCATCAGCCTCTGGAAGGTGGCTGGTGCTCCATGCAGCTGAAGGGCATCACCGTAAACTGGAATAGCCCATTTGGCCCTCTGAACGCTGTGTACGGCCTAGAGCTCTCCTCAAGGGGTATTTGCCAGTAGACTTTAAATAGGTCGAGTGTGGTGATGTATTTGGCAGCTCCGATCTTCTCCAGTAGATCATCCACTCGAGGCATTGGATAAGCATCGAACTCTGAGATGGCATTGAGTTTTCTAAAATCAATGTATATTCGCAGTGAACCATCCTTTTTGAATGCAATGACCAGTGGACTG